AAATAAACACTTGAAACGTTCGTCGGATGCATTTGATTCGGTTTAAAGATTTTTACATTACATTTACATAACATGAATATTTTCAGTCGATTTAATAAATTAAATTCTAATTTTTTTTCAGAAACTTGCTGAATAAATCAGAAACAAAAGAACATATTTTTCGAAGCGAATTAAACGAAAAAAACGGAACGAAAATCTTGAAAGAAAAAAAGGAAGTTGATGATTAAAGATAGATGTATAAAAAAATGCGTGAAAAAGATCACTCACCAAGAAAAATGTTACCGAGTCCAAAACAAGGATGTATATATCCGATGCTTGGCTCATCTGTCTCGCTAGGAGTGCAAATACCATTTGACTTGTCAACGTCGAGTCGATCAACAACGGCGAGTCTACTACATTCGCTTAACAATGACCAACCATTAGATTTACGAGTTGATCATAAAAAATCGTCCAATATTCAAATCGAAGACGAAAATCAAAATCTGTTGGCGAGCGACGATTCATCGGATGCCACAACCAAAATTAATGTTGCTCCAATTTCGAGTATTAATCGATTTCTCCATTCAAAACTAATTAATAACAATGATTTAAGTAGTAAGAACAATAATACGATTCATATGAACAATGGAAATAATAACAATCAACCGGAGCTCGATGAAGACGATGATGACAACAACAATAACAGCACGAGTAATAATAAAAATGCTAACGACTCACTATTTAGCGAAAGTAGCAGTTTGGATTTTCGAAAGAAGAATTTCAATTTAAAAGAAAATCTCCGATCATCATCGTCATCGTATCACTTAGCCACAAGTATGCCAAACGTATTCTCAGCTCCAGCATTCCATCCGGCAATGCTTGAAGCCATGGCCAAAGCGGTGCGTTTACCATTTCCATATCGATTACCATACATTCCGTCAAATCATCATCGTCATTCACCAAACTTAGATTTGCTACGCATGAAACCAAATCAATTTTCCAACTTACCGCGAATTATGTCGCCGAACCACTTGTCTTCGCTTACATCAAACTCTTCAATTACAGCCGCAATTGGTGGCGTTGGTGGTGGTGTCAAATCGACAATGAATCACAATAACAACAACAATAATAATAATAATAATAACGACAGCACGCCAAACGCAAATAAAATTGGCGGAAACAATCAATCCACATCATTGACAAACAAAAATAAAGATCGATATTCATGCAAATTCTGTGGTAAAGTATTCCCGCGTTCAGCTAATTTGACACGACATCTGCGTACGCACACAGGCGAACAGCCGTACAAATGCAAATACTGCGAACGAAGTTTCAGCATTTCAAGCAATTTACAACGCCACGTTCGTAACATTCATAACAAAGAGCGTCCATTTCGTTGTGCACTGTGCGAACGTTGCTTTGGTCAACAAACCAACTTAGATAGACACATGAAAAAGCATGAGGCTGATGCAGCATCGCTCGGTCTCGGTATTGATGAACGGTTGAGAACATCCAGGCAACGAAATTCAATGCAACGCGGAATGCCAGACGAATCGTATTTCGAAGAAATTCGTTCGTTTATGGGCAAAGTGACACAGTTACCAATTTCATTACGATCACAAGTCACATCCGATGCACACACAAACTCATCGTCACGAAGTTC